ACAGTAAATTAAAATTGAACGAATTCAAAAATATATTTTTTATATACCGATCATGCCGAAAAAATTACCGGCCGAAAGTTTTTTTCGGCTAATTTTTTATAGGTGTCCCAGGAATAATGAAAACAGCTGTAATTTATTTTTTTATGTCTTGTGGTCTAGTGATCCGGTTTTGATGATTTGTATCACAATGATGATTGTACCAAAATCATCAAAACCCGATCACTATATCGCAAGATAAAACAGATGAATCAAAATCGAAATTCATGTAACAGTACAAATTTATACGAATTTGGTCGACAAATCCCCATAGTTAATTTCTTATTTACGCGGGTTAACTTCCCGAAGTCAATTTTACTGAAATACCATTTTGCCGAAGTCATAATACGGACATCCCATTTTACTATCTGCAATTTCCATTTCACCGAATGTTAAAAAGATGAATGTCTACTGACATGCGATTTTTTCGAATTCTTATATTCTATTTCTTTGAAAATATATCACTGAAAGCTCTTTTACCGAAGGATGTTTTACTGAATTTACAGCTATTTTATAACTGATAACCCGAAAAAAGGTGTAAACAAATTTGCCGACAACCATTTCATTGGCAACCATTTCACCGACAAAGTTAGCCTGATTTGTGTTAGGTTGGCCTGGTTTATACAATTTTGTTCAATCAAGAAAACATCTTGTTGGGAAATTTCTTTGAGGAATATCTTTTCGGGAAAACATCTTTTCGGTGAAACATCCTTTCGGGAAAAATATATCAAAATATTTGTCGGTGAAAAGGCTTCAAAATTTTTTTTGTCTGGGGAGCAGGGTTTGGAAAAAGGGTTTTGTCGATGAAAAAGTCTGTCGATTAAAATTTTTCAGAAATTCAGGTTACCGTGTAATTGGTTGTGTTGGAAAAAAAAAAATTCGAAAAAATTTCTATCAGTAAAATGTACTGTCAGAAATATGGTTTGTCGGGAAAAAGGTATTTCGGGAAGGTAGGTTTCGGGAAAGTGAGAATCAACGACGTAGTTGTGTATAACGATCTCGAAGTACTTAACCATTCATCTCGTTGATTTTAGTCCAATTTAATCTTTGAGAATAATGATCGTTTACTAATCAATGTACTTGAAATAATCAGATTGCCTCATTTAATTCCAATTCACACCGATCTAGTATTTAACGATAAGTTATTAATTTACATAAATACTTAATATTTTATCCACACTGGTTTAATCTGACCAAGATAATCTAGTCTAAATATTTAAAATTAGCCATACATGTTTATATAAGTGATGATACATCACACTGTGATTAATCCAACAGTATTTAAAATACCAGTCTAAAAAATTTCGCAGATCAAGTGAACTTCTATTCGAGGATGTACTTTTCCGTTATCCTTTGCTTCGCAAAGGATAGTTGATGCTTTCGCTACGGCTAACGCCTCCGTTACAGCATTTTTTTTACTAAAGCTAAATAAAAAAATATTTAATTAGTTTACCTTGACCCTAACCCTAAACTAACGAGGGCTCAACAGTAATTTTAGATTTAAATCAATCGTTAAATTTGTATGATCATATGATTATGTGATCTACGAAATTTTTTAGATTGCTAGTCCTATAGATTAATCCTAATCATTATTATTAAAATAAAGCTTTTCGGAATCAAGTCGTGAGGTCCAAATATATAATCGCCGTTTTCCTGTTTTTACTGTAGTTACATAGTATACTGGTACGTACGTAATAGTAATAAATTGATTTGTACAACAAATATTAACCCTTTTCTTGGCAGAAGAATAGTATAATTGAAAATCACACCGTTAGTGTTCAATATCAAGTATAATACGAATTTTAAATAATTATTAAGATTAGAATTTGGGTTAGGCTTTGATGAAATTTTTGTTATGACCATTTGAAAATGACTCTTATCGTTATCTGCAGTATAAACTAAAACGTAAATGATTGCCAACATAATCGGTGCACCCATATTTGAACACAATGGGGGCAGTAAAAATAGTTTGTGATTTGTCATGAGATTTATTCACGTGATTCGACATAGCACAAAATAATGAGATACTGTAATCGAGTACCTTCAACCGACTAGCAATTGCGAAATCGAATTTTGAAACCTTATTTATGCTAATTAAAGAAAGTAAATTGAAGAGAGTCGCAAGTTGAATTTTTGCTCTTCGTACATATTGTTGTAAGTAACTCTACAATATTAACAAATAAAGACTAGGAGTCTGCAAATGCCCATATCCGGCACACTGGACCAGGCTGGGCACTGGTGCCCTATTTCCATAGTGCCAGACACTATTAAAAGCATGGCATAAAATGCTAGATATTGGCGAAGGCATGGACACAAAATGTTAGACACAAAAATTAAATAATAAATACCAAATTTTTATGTCTGTGCCTTTTGTTGGGCGTAGGCACGAGCCAAGTTGCAGACCCCTAATGAAGATGCATTTTTTCTATGAAACCATCTTTGTATGAAAATTGTTTTGTATGATTTAGTGATGCCTGACGAAACCATGTGATGCTAATTGTCACATGGTACAATCAACAATCTATTTTGATTTTTTATAAGTAATAGCACGTGATAATTAGCATCACATGATTTCGTCAGGCATCACTAGTATGATTATACCCTGGTCACTATATCAAGATCGCAGGGCATAAATCAGTTATACCCTGGGCACTATGTGTATAAACGGGACTTTCAGCCCCGCTTATACCCAACTACCCAGGATATAACTATTACAAATTATTCGCTTGATTAACCTTAGGAAATTGTCATCTCTTAAATGAACTTTCACTTAATTTCAATTAGGATTTTTCCTACCTTAAGGATAACCTTATAACATGATTATAACCTATTTTTAATATAAATTGCATTGATAGTTTTGGGCACATACCGAGTATACATTAAGCTGTTAGCAGTATGGGTGATAGGTAATAATACACGTTCAATCATATGGTCTAGGTGCTGAAAAAGGGACAAATTTGACAATTTTTTCAAAAGAAAGTTTTTTTTTTATTTTTTTTAAATGAATATATAGATTAGAATAACTTTTACCTAAAATATGAAAGTAGTTGTATTAATAAAATATTGTAGTATAGCTCATTAAAGTTTATATTTCTTATAATTTATTATAGCAAATAGATTAACATAAAATCGATTTTCAGAAAATCTTCTTTTTTTTTTGTCAAACTTGTTCCTTTTCTCAACACCTATCCCATATGATTATAGTTTGTTAAGTTTGTTAATATGTCTTATAAATTTGATCTATTATATTAAACAGTAAAGAAAATCCGGATATCTATGAAGGGTAAAAAAATATTTCCTATTTTACGGTAAATTGGCAATGATATAAATTCAATATTAAAATTACTATTTCTTGTTACCAGCTCAGGTTTCGAGTTTGTTAAAAATGATTACAGAATGTGTCCAGATTGCAGTAAACCAAACACAAGCGCCGATTGGTGTCATGTGTGTAATGCAAAAAATTTCGTCAAAATTTTGGTTCTTGGACAAGTGGTAATGAGCATATTGATAAGTTTATTCAATATGCTCAATTGGACGCGATGGATAAACGCGAAGTGTTAGAATGGATACCTTATGAAAAATTAAAACATGTCACCTATGTCGCTAAAGGTGGTTATAGCACTATTTATAAAGCCATTTGGACCGATGGTCCTATCTCAGGGTGGAATAATGAAACGCAACAATGGGAAAGATATAAATTTATGTATGGCGACAAATGTGAGTTTCTTACAACAATTGATAACATTTATACTGGTACTTTTGGAATATCTGTAGCTTTAAAATGTTTACATGATTCGTCAAATGTTGGCGAGGATTTCCTGAATGAAGTACGTATTTATATCTTATCGTGGTGGCAATTCACCTATCATATCCATGTATGATCTTTTAACGCCTGCAGAGCAAGATTATGTAAGTTTAGTTTGT